TCCTCCTTTGTTTCCAGCAGGGATCTGGGGCCTGTCAGTCCTGTGAGCTCTATTTATTTCTTTGGGAATAATTCCTTACTGTGTAATTACAATGTCAAAGTCTGTACATTCCTTTGGGTTTTTATATTTGTCCTTCAAAAGTTTAATCTTATCTAAATGCTCACTTACTAAGAGTTTGAAAAGTGTATTTTTATACAAACAATGCACTATTGTTATTGTTTTTTTGCACCACAGAGTCAGAACCGACCTATGGCTGATGGACCTTCCAGTGGGTTTTCAGAAGCCATAAATCACACAAGAGGAGACTGTCCATCTTTCTCTTTTGAGACAGCTGGTGGATTTGAACTGTGTCCCTTCAGGTTGACAGTGCAGCTCCTTACCACTAGTCTACCAAAGCTCCCAATGTACTATTAGATTTTTTTTTTAACTGTAACTTCTTTGGCAAATTAATTTTGTATACATACTATGCACATTATGTGTGTGGTATGTTACATGTGAAAAATACAGTACCTGTTTCAAGACTCTCGGTCATACTAAGTATATTACACCAAACAAAATTTTACTTAAATGCTGAACCATTTTCACTTGCTATAACCATTTCTTTGGTTCTTAGAAAGATCACACTTTCCCCTTCACTGTGATCTTTAGTCAGATACATTTCTTTTTTTCCTCTTTTTATAAACTGTTGACTTAAGTCTTTGTTCAGTTCTCTGTTGGCTACTTTTTGTTTGTCTCCTAGATGGAATAGCTTTTTAGCTACTAAGGATACCAATTATTTGCTTCTAAATATGTTTCTCTATTTTGTCATCTGTTGTTTTTTGTTTTGGTTTTTTTTTTAAGGTATTTTTGTCTATTGCAGTTTTAAAGTTCTGTAAAGAAATGTAAAAAAATTTCTATTTTCTCTTTGATATTTTGTTGTTTTAAGCTGTTTGCTGACAAGATATTTAACATCCTGAAATCAAATAATTATTAATCTATACTGTGTTGCCAAGAGGGGATCAGTCCTTGGAAAAGGATATCATGCGCGGAAGGGTGGAGGGATAGAGCAGGAGAGGAAGACCAGGGATGAGATGGATAGACTCAGTAAGTGGGGTAATGGGATAGGTATGTTGGAGACAGTGAGACTGGCTTAGAACATCGCAGAGTTCAGAGCCATTGTTCATAAAGTCACTATGCGTTGAAGTCAACTTGACAACACATAACCACTACAATTGTCTTTAAGTTCTTTTATATTTTTATTTTTTACACTCAATTCTGAAACATATAGAAAAATAAACCTCATGATTAGGATGATGATCAGAACTTTAAAAAAAAAATCCAACCCCATTTATTTCTTTACTTATACCACTTGTCTGGTTAATTACTGTTCCTAACTGGCCCAAAACCAAGTTTCTCCAGAAGAATAACCTAGAACATGGTGGTCAGGGCTCCAAAAGGCAGAAGGTAGATACTGCCAGGTCAGTTAAGGAATCTTTCAAGAACTAGACTTCTTAGTTCCAAATATAGTGTTATCACTACTGATCAAAGCAGTATACTCAGACTTAAGGTAGCGGCTTCTATTTTCACATCAACTTAAAAAAATCTCAATTGGCAACAACAACTAAAAACATTTTTAACTAATAATTATTGGACTCACAAGGCTGGGTCCTCTTTTTCAGATATTCATTTATATTTTAGATCTACTCTTCTTTAAACTGATCATTCAAATACTTAGTCCTGTTCAAACTTAAAAGTCTTCATGTGTGGCACAAATAGACTATCAAATATAACTGATACACAGTCAGCATAGGATAAATGAGATAAATGGGACTTCCTAAAAAAAAATGAAACCCTATGTGTATCAAAAGACTTCTCCAAAAGAGTAAAAAGAGAATTTATAGAACAAGAAAAAAAAGTATTTGGCAGTTAACACACTGATAAGGACTCATTTTAAAAACTTACAGAAAACTCTACTATTTCAACAAGGAAAAGACAACCTAATTAGAAAATGGGCAGGAGGGCATGAATAGACACTTTACAAAAGATATCCAGATGGCCAACAAACACATGAGGAAATGCTCAAGATCACTAGCCAATGCTGCTTGCCATCAAACCAACTATAACAACTCTATTCACAACAAATCTGAAACTCGTCCTATCACGTACCAGCCCCACCATTTCTGACATGCACAGCCTACTGTTATAGCCACTGTGTCAATCCGTCCTGTTAATAATGGTCTTCCTCTCTTTCTCTGACCTTTCCAGCATGATATCTTTTTTTTCTTCGAGGACTGGTCCTTCCTGACAATATGTCTAAAGAAAGAAGAAATTTCCCCATTCTTCCCTCTAAGAAGCACTGTGGTTCCACTTTCTTCAAGGCAGTCTGTCTTGTTATTTGGCTGTCCATGATATTCAGTACTCTTCCCTAACACCACAATTCAAAGACACAGATTCTTCTTCTATCATCCTTCCTAAATGTCCAATTTTCAGATGCAATGAAAGTAACTGAAAATATCAGGGTTTGGGTCAGGCGCATCTGAGTCTTTAAAGTGACATCCTTGCTCTTTAGCACTTGGAGAGGTAGGTGCTTGACAGCAAATTTCTCCAATGCAACATGTCTTTTGATTTCTTGATTGCTGTTACCATGGGTGTTAACTGTGGATCCGAATAAAATGAAATAATTAACAATTTTAATCTTTTCTCTATCAGGATTGCCTACTGGTCCAATGCTGAAGATTTTGTTGTCTTGATATTGAGATGTAATCCATATTGAAGGCTGTAGTCTTTGGTCTTCTGTAGCAAGTATTTCAAGTCCTCTTCATTTTCAGCAAGCAAGATTGTGTGTGCTGAATAATATAGGTTGTTGATGAGTCTTCTTCCAATACTGATGCCACATTCTTCTTCTTAGAGTCCACTGTCTCCATTATTTTGGTCAGCACACAGATTCAATCCATATGGAGAAAAGATTCACCTCCAATGCACATCTTACTTGATTTTAAATCACATAATAATTCTTGTTCTATTGGGACACTAGCTTCTTGGTCTATGAATAAGTTTCACATAAGCACAATTAAAGTGTTCTTGGATTCCCATTTTTCTCCATGTTAGGCATAGTTGGAGGACATAAACACATATTTCTTAGGTTTATTTTTTCCACTTATTAATAGGTTTAGTTGGTATGTTCACATATGGTTTACCTATAATAATGAAATGAAAACGAAAAATCAATTCCCCCCCCCTTATTTTTTAAATTAGAAGTCTGTCAAAGATGAAATTATGGTACATTCATACAATGGGATACTATGCAGCACGCAGAAGCAATAACTTTGTAAATTATTACTAACTTGGCAGGGAC